ACTTCATCTCTACTAAAAATATAAAATTAGCCAGGTGTATGGTGAATGCCTATAATCCCAGCTACTCTGGAGGTTGAGGCAGGAGAATAGCTTGAACCCAGGAGGCGTAGGTTGTAGTAAGCTGAGATTGCACCATTGCATCCCAGTCTGAGTGACAAGAACAAAACTCCCTCTCAAAAAAAAAAAAGTGCTGGGGGCAGGTGGCTCTGTAATCCCAGCACTTTGGGAGGCTGAGGCCAGCAGATTGCCTTTGCTCAGGAGTTCCAGACCAGCCTGGGCAACACGATGAAAACCCAGCTCTACTAAAATACAAAAAATTAGCCAGGTATGGTGGCATGCGAGTAGTCCCAGCTACTCGGAAGCCTGAGGCAGGAGAATTGCTTGAACCTGGGAGGCATAGGTTGCAATGAGCTGAGATCACACCACTACACTACAGCCTGGGGGACAGGGTGAGACTCCATGTCAAAAAAAAAAAGATTAAAAGAAAAGGGGAGAGAGAGAAAAGAAAGAACTAAAGGAAAGGAAGAAAGAAAGGAAAGAAAGAAGGAAAGGAAAGAAGAGAAAGAAGAAAAGAAAGAGGAAGGAAGGAAGAAGGAAGAAAGAAGAAAGAAAGAAAGATAGAAAGAAAGAAAGAAAGAAAGAAAGAAAGAAAGAGAGAGAAAGCAAGCCTCAAGGGCCAAGGACATCCCCTGCTCTTTGTTTTGGGGACAGAGTTGGAGTTGGAGACTGAATCTCTCATAGGGAGGGACCAGAACACAGCAAGAGACAGAGCAGAGTCAAGCAGATAAAAACCACATACCAGTCTGGGCACAGTGGCTCACGCCTGTAATCCCAGCACTTTGGGAGGCTGAGGTGGGCGGATCACAAGGTCAAGAGATTGAGACCATCCTGGCCAACATGATGAAACCCGTCTCTACTAAAAATAAAAAAAAATTCACCGGTCGTGGTGGTGCGCACTTGCAGTCCCAGCTACTAGTGAGGCTGAGGCAGAAGAATCACTTGAACAGGGAGGCAGAGGTTGCAGTGAGCCGAGACTGTGCCACCGCACTCCAGCCTGGTGTCAGAGTGCGACTTCGTCTCAAAAACAAAACAAAACTAAAGAAAAACAAACAAACAGACAAAACAAAACCCCAGTGCATGCCATAGAAGCCGGCAGATGCAAAAATGCAGAAACTGAGCAGTGCCAGGCTCTCAGGCCAGCTCTGCTCCCTCCTCCTGGCTGCAGGGGCTTGATCTGCAGAAAGGATATCTGTCTCCATGGAAACAGCAGAAGCAGGGGAGGGGCCTAGCTGGTAACAGTCAGGCAAAAGCATGGGGAGGGGGACTTCCACCAGGAAGCCCCTGACCTCACCCCTCCTCCCCCCTTCTCCTCCTAACTCCAGGCCTGCCTGGGGGCGATGCCAACGGTAGAGGGGGTCTTTCAGGGCAGGGCACTGTGTGGAAACCAGAGCACCATTCACTTTCTGCTCCTTGGATTTGTCTCTACAAATATAAGGTGGAAAGGGGGTTTTGAGTTGTCACAAAGTCGCTTGGCAACAGTGGGCCTCTCCAGCCACCCCTGGGAGCTCTGGGACCCCCAGATGACCCCTTAAATCTTTTTTTTTTTCTGAGATGGAGTGTCGCTCTGTGCCCAGGCTGGAGCGCAATAGCACAATCTTGGCTCACTGCAATCTCCACTTCCTGAGTTCAAGCAATTCCCCTGCCTCAGCCTCCCAAGTAGCTGGGACTACAGGTGCCTGCCACCACATCCAGCTAATTTTTTTTTGTATTTTTAGTAGAGACGGGGTTTCACCATGTTGGCCAGGATGGTCTCCATCTCCTGAACTCATGATCCACCCACCTCAGCCTCCTAAAGTGCTGGGATTACAGGCCTGAGTCACCACGCCCAGCCCCCTTAAATCTTTTTGATTTAAAAAAGCCTCCTGGAAAAAAAAATGTCAGTCGTGGTGGCTCAGGCCTGTAATCTCAGCATTTTGGGAGGCTGAGGCGGGTGGATCACCTGAGGTTAGGAGTTCAAGACCAGACTGGCAAACATGGTGAAACCCTGTCTTAAAAAAATAATAAAAATTAAAATTAAATTAAAAAATAAAAATAAAAAAGCCTCCTGGGTTCAAGCAATTCTCCTGCCTCAGGCTCCTGAGTAGCTGAGATTACAAGTGTGTGCCTCCATGCCTAATTTTTTGTTGTTGTATTTTTAGTGGAGATGGGGTTTCACCATGTTGGTCAGGCTGGTCTTGAACTCCTGATGTGATTCACCTGCCTCAGCCTCCCAAAGTGTTGGGATTATGCGTGTAAGCCACCTTGCCCGTTTTTTGTTTTTTGTTTTTTGTTTTTTGTTTTTTTGAGATAGGATCTTTCTCTGTCACCCCAACTGGAGTGTACTCTCTGTTACCTAGGCTGGAGTGCAGTGGGGAAACCATAGCTCACTGCAGCCTCTACCTGCTAGGTTCAAGCAATCTTCCCACCTCAGCCTCCTGAGTTGCTGGGACCATAGGCATGTGTTAGTGAGCCTGGCTAATTTTGTTGTTGTTGAGATGGAGTCTCACTGTGTCACACAGGCTGGAGTGCAGTGAGGCAGTCTCAGCTCACTTGAATCTCTACCTCCCCAGTTCCAGTGATTCTCCTGCCTCAACCTCCCGAGCAGCTGGGACTACAGGCACAGGCCACCATGCCTGGTTAATATTTGTATTTTTAGTAGAGATGGTTTTGCCATGTTACCCAGGCTGGTCTCAAACTTCTAAGCTCAAATAATCCTCCCATCTCTGACTCCCAAAGAGCTAGTATTACAGGCGTGAGCCACCATGCACAGCCTAATTTTTAATTTTTTGTAGAGATGGGATCTTGCTAGGTTGCCCAAGCTAAGAGCTTTGGCTCTATTTCTGAAAACTATGGGTATAGGACATAGGAGCCAGGCTTCCCCTGCCTTCATCCCTCCTCCCTCCGTCCTGGAAGCTGAAGCTGGAGCGCAGATGCAGTGGATCTTTGTCAAGGAGCTGCAGTTCCTGCCGCCTCCACCCCGCCCCACCTTACCTGGGCTGTTACCTGAGTCCCTTTGCTGACAGCGGCCGGTTGCTACAGAACCAGGCGCCCAGCACCATTGAGGCCACACCCACGCTCCCCACCCCCAGCAGCACGAAGAGGAGTCCTGGGTTGGGGGAGAAGGGATGGTCTAAGTGGGAGGGTGGGGGAGGTGATGGGGGAGGAAGTCGCTGCGTGAGGAAGATGCTGGGGGAGGAACACGGGGCAAGGCCCACCTGGGAAGTTTGGGGTCGGGTTTCTGTTCTGTTGGGGGTCATCTACAGATAAGAAATCTATGTTCTGGGAGGGCATCAGGCTCCTGTACTCTCCAAGGACAGAGCTCACAAAGGGGGACGTAAGTGTTCCTCCTTCTGCCAGGCTTTGTGGTTTCGGGCAGGTGTTTACTCTTAACGTCAGTTTTCTCTTCTGAAAAATGAGGCTCAGCAGGGCACGTGACTCACGCCTACAATCCGAGCACTTTGGGAGGCTGAGGCAAGAGGATCACTTGAGGTCAGGAGTTTGAGACTAGCCTAGGCAACATGGTGAAACCCTGTCTCTACTAAAAAGATAAAAATTAGCTGGGTGTGGTGGTGTACACCTGTAGTCCCAGCTATTCAGGAGGCCGAGGCAAGAGAATTGCTGAAATCCAGGAGGCAGAGGCTGCAGTGAGCCAAGATTGTGCCACTGCACTCCAGCCTGGGTGACAGAGTAAGACTCTGTCTCAAAAAAAAAAAAAAAAAAAAGAAAAGGGGGCTGGGGAGTTGGGGAGAGATAGCATGGGGAGAAATGACAGATATAGGTGATGGGGAGGAAGGCAGCAAATCACACTGCCATGTGTGTACCTATGCAACAATCTTGCATGTTCTTCACATGTACCCTAAAACGTAATATGCAATAAAAAAAAGAAAGAAAAATGAGGCTTATGGTCCCTGTCTGGTTGGGTAATTGTGGAAAACTGCCAGCTCGGACTTGTTATCATGAGCTCCGCCATCTTTGTCCTGGGGCTCCTGTTTAGTTGTTTTTTGGTTTGAGCATGAACTCTGAGCCACACCATTTTACAGATGGGGAAACTGAGGCTCAAAGTGCCTAAGTCTCTTGGAGAGGGTCCCCTACCCAGGAGGTAGACAAGACCAGCTTTGAACAAAACCCTTTCTCACTTGAGCTCAGAGAAGGTAACACTTAGGTTACTTGAGCACTTACTATGTCCAGTCCCTGTGCTAAGCACTGCTTTGTTGTTGCTGTGTGTTTTTCTGGATACAGGGTCTCTCTGTGTCACCCAGGCTGGAGCGCAGTGGCAAAATCATAACTCACTGCAGTCAACAAATCCTAGGCTCAAGCAATCCTCCCACCTCAGCCTCTCAAGTAGCTGGGACTATGAGTGCATGCCACCATGACTGAGTAATTTTAGAATTTTTTGTAGAGATGGGATCTTGCTGTGTTGGCCAGGCTGGTCTCAAACTCCAGGTCTCAAGCAATCATCCTGCCTTGGCCTCCCAAAGTGCTGAGATATCAGGCATCAGCCACTGCACTTGGATTATAGTACTTTAGCTATAACCCCTCTAAAGTAACCTAGCCTGATGAGGAAACACTATTCACTGTATTTTGACAGCAGAGGGATCTGGCACAGAGAGGTCAAGTCACTTGCTCAAGGTCACACAGCGAGTAAATGAAACAGAGGCTTGAATCCAGGTTTGTATAATTTACAGGAACCCCAGCCTAAAGGCTGTGAATGCCCCAATTAAGATAAGATCCATCACCCCAACCCCCTCCTCTTACAGCTTCTGAGGTTGGGAGGTGATCTCTGGGGGCTACCAAGCTTCTGTTCAGGGTTGGAGGGGGTGGGGAAGCCAGCTGTGTGAGGCTGGACCCATGCAGGCTACCTGCTCTCTCAAGCTGCCAATGCACAGCCTGATGCCTCCACCACCCTGCCTCCTCTAATTGCTAATTGGCCCCTTTGACATTGGCGGGGTGGGGAAAGGTAGGTAAGGCAGCCATAACACACCCCCTCCAAGATGGAGAAATCCCATTTCTACTAAATATACAAAATTAACTGGGCATGGTGGTACATGCCTCTAATCCCAGCCATTTGGGAGGCTGAGGCAGGAGAATCTCTTGAACCTGGGAGGCGGAGGTTGCAGTGAGCCAAGATTGTGCCACTGCGGAGCTTGGCGCACCATGGCCAGACGGCTGGACCTGCAGCAGGAGCGTAACTTGCCGGAGCTCATCTAGAGTGTCGCCAGCCTCCAGGACGAGACAGACCCCAACTTCCAGCTCGCCCTAACTTAGCCTGGTCCAGCTTAAGGTGCGGGGCACGGTGCGAGGCGGAGCGGGGGGACGCGGGGCAGTGCGGCGCGGGGCTCTGCGTGGGGTCGCAGCACAAGGGGTCGCTGGCATGGGGCTGCGGCGTGATGCTGGGGGATCGCGGGGCGGAGCGTGCAGGGGGGGGATCATGGCGCGGGGCTCGCGATCACGGCGCAGAGGGGCGCGGATTCCCTGGAACAGGACGCGCTGGGGCGGGGCACGGGGCTGAGGTGGAGGAGGCCTCTGGGCGCCGCCCGCTCGATGCTGACCAGGCTCTCGGGGTAAGCGTGGAACTGGGTTCTTTCGGGCCGGGGCGCGCGCCTGCAACCCCAGGGCTCTTGGATGCCCAGGCGGTACTTAAGGCCAGCCTGGACGATATAGCAACTCCATCTCTATATAAATTTTTTTCTTTTTAAGTAAAGAGATTGTATTCTCACTGATTCCTGCTCCCTGGTCAGCCAGCACAATTTCTCTCTCACTCTGCTTTCATTTTTCCAAAACACATGTCAGGACACTGATTTAACCTGTCATTACTGTCTCCTCTACTTCCACTCCAGCTAGAATGCTGCATCCCTGCACAGCTCCTGGCAGGTAGCACGGTAAGTCACCTTAACGGAGACCTGTGGGGATTGCTCCCGTGTGAGGCCCCTAGGAAATGGGCCTCGCCATACGGTGAGCTTGAGCCCTGACACAGATCCCCGGTTGGGGGAGTCCAGCTGAGGGAAAGCAGGAACCAAGAGAGGGACTATGTTATTCTAAATAATTAACAGACATTACTTTATGGATATGAGGACTTGGGAGGCATTGTGTCTACTTTCGGATTGTTACGGTTTATTGCTTGATTGTGTCCATTTTGGACCTGTGTTACTTACTTACCGTAACTTACAGGGCGTAACTGTAACTTACTTACCATGACTTACGGGGCGTGACTGTAATCTACTTACCTTGACCTATTGGGCGTAACCTACTTACTGGAAGAAACCTACTTACTGGGCGGAGCCTACTTACGGGGCTTAACTTACTTACTGGGTGTAACTTGCTTACTGTAACTTAAGTACGTTAATCTGGTGTAAACAACTTTAACTTCAGAAAAGTATATAATGAAACACATTGCAAAAATAAAATTGCTGCATGAGCATAGCGCATGTAGCCCTCCAGACCTCGCCTTTTCTATCTCCTTTTTTTCCAGCGCGGGCTCTCTTCCAGGTTTGGGACCCTCTCGCTGGACGAGATTCCCGGGCTCGCGTTCAGTTCACAACAGCTGGCGCCCAAGGTGGGGCGAGTCAGTTCGCAACATCACCTAGTACAATTGCTAATGCCGTTTCTCTTGTAACTAATTTCTTGTTTCATTGGTTGGTTGGGTTTTTTTTGTTTTGTTTTGTTTTTGAGACAGAGTCTCAAGTCTGGCTCTGTTGCCTAGGCTGGAGTACAGCGGTGTGATGGTGGCTCACTGCAACCTCTGCCTCCCTGGTTCAAGCGATTCTCCTGCCTCAGCCTCCCCAAGGCACGTGCCACCGTGCTTGGTTTATGTGTGTGTGTGTGTGTGTGTGTGTGTGTATTTTTTTTAGTAGACATGGGATTTCACTGTGTTAGCCGGGATGGTCTCAATCTCCTGACCTCGTGATCTGCACCCCCTTGGCCTTCCAAAGTGCTGGGATTACAAGCGTGAGCACCAGGCCTGGCCTCTTGTAACTAATTTTTAAAGACTTACAGAGTTTAGATGTTTAGGTGGAGTGAGATGTCCTATTTTTCCTTATGGGAGATGTAAATTAAACAATATTTTAGTTCGTTACTCATAATGAAGTTATTAGTAAAAGAATGTTAATGTTCTGCCTGTTTAATTTCAGTAAAAATCTTCTTGAATAATGATTAGGTTTTCAAAACCTGTAATCTTAGTTACCTTAATGATCATAGCCCTAAAGTGTCTAGTTAGTTGGTTTATAATAGGAATACAGGGCTTTCAGATTCTTTTAAAATATGCCAAGTTTCCAAAGTAATAAACTGAATTCTTAACTGTAACTTATAAAAATATACAATGTGTGAAATAGGTTATACAATACAGAAATGTAAATGCTGAATCCCAAGTTATTTTTCTATTAATATTTCTAAATGACAGTAGGCAGATGTTCATCATTTTAGAGCTGGGAGAGACATTAGAGATTACTATTTACCTTCATAAAATGGAACTCTACATTACCTATACCTAAATTATAGGTAAAGTGGTGTTCCATTCAGCCATTTACTGGAATAGAATCAGATGTGGTTTTCAGTAGTGAAATTTTATTTCTTTTAAGTACAGATTGCTGGCTGCAATAATAAAAAAGGCAAAACTTTTTTGCATAGGCTATTATTTATATATATATACATTAGTTGCATAGGCTATGCTCTAATGTTATGATGCTTTAAACCATCAGAAAAATGAATAGTTCATGTTTGCATTTTAAAAAATTGTGGCCATTTAGAATTCTAGGCCCTAGAAATTCAAAAATGAGTAAGTTATAGCCTCCATCTTTAAGAAAGAGACAAAAGTTAATCACAGTATAATATATGATAGGGATTTTTATAATTCAGATATTTGTTAATTTGGATGAGGAAAAAATTGTACTAATCTCTAACTGAAAAGTAGCATCTCCTTCCGTTATGAATGAAGACAGAAAACCATAGGGGAAAGAGAACACTCACCTTTGAGAATGAGTTAATTAAAATGTTAAATGTTTTAGAATATCAATTTAATAAATGTTTCAATATTTTTAAATTTTTATCTGATTGTATTTTATTTTGAGTCTTGTTAGTCTTTTTTCCTTTAGTTTTGATATTTTTTTCAAAGATAGATACAATAAAGCTGATGAAGTTCTTCTGTCACATTTTAGAAAAGACAGATGATTTAGATTCGGGAAAATACTTGATGGAAGGTGAAGAAACGGACATTGTTCCAGACATGGACACACCAGTAAGTGACAGTAGTTTTGCTATTAAAAATTTAAATACACACCAGGTGATAGAGATGATTGTAATGTGTCTTCCACCCTAGGTCAACTAAGCTAAAACAGGAACACTTTTAACTAATCTAGAATCATTTATCATGGAAGTCTGGTTAGGAATTTACACCAAATCACTAGTATTAAGAAGTTACAAGGGGGTGGGCATGGTGGCTCAGCACTTTGAGAGGGTAAGGAGGGAGGATTGCTTGAGCTTAGGAATTTGAGACCAGCCTGGGTAATGTAGCGAGAGTTTGTGTCTATTTTTTAAAAATAGATTTTAAAGAAAGACATTGTTTGGGCACACTGGCTGACACCTGTAATCCTAGCACTTTGGGAGACCAAGGCAGGTAGATCACTTGAGGCCAGAATTTCGAGAGAAGCCTGGGCAATATAGTGAAACCCCATCTAGTAAAAATACAAAAAAATTAGCTGGGCATGGTAGCACACACCTGTAATCACATCTACTCGGGAGGCTCAGACATGCGAATATCTTGAAGGTCGAGGTTGCAGTGAGCTGAGATCATGCCATTGCACTTTGTCACCTGGGTGACATGTCACCTGGTTTTCATGTTACAGAAAAAAAGAAAAAATAATAATTATATTTCCATTCCTATAATAGGCACTTCCAGGAGATTTAGAAAAAAAAATTCATTTGGTTTTTGTTTTTCTGTTCCATGTTGCTTCAAAAAAAAAAATCCAGCTGGAATTTTTATTGGGATTGCAGAGAATTTATAGATCTAACTTGGGGAGGTTTGATTACCTTAACATGTTAATATCTACATTTATTGTAACTTTATCTTTTACTAGATCTTGGAAATCTTCTTTTTGAAGATCTCCAGTGTTCTTTTGTTAATTTCTATATCTGTTACAGTTTTTATTTTTGTGAGTGATACTTCTTTTATTTATTCCTGATGTAGAGGAAATAATTCTGGTTTTCTTATATGCCACCTTTTTGTTGAATTCTGATATGAATCATAACACTTTGTTGATTCCATTTGGTTTCTTATATAAATGATTAGTGTCATCTGCAATGATTAGTATCACCTAGGTGACAAAGTGAGAGACTGTCTCCAAAAAAGAAAAAAGATAAGTTAAAAGGGTTGAGTATAAGTATCTCTTAAGGACCTGTGATCTTGAGACTTTCTGCCACCAAAAATAATTCCATTCCTTATTGTTTTCATGTTACAGAAAAAAGAAAAAGTAATTAATTATATTTCCATTCCTGTAATAGGCACCTCCAGGAGATTTAGAAAAAAAATTCATTTGGTTTTTGTTTATCTGTTCCATGTTGCTTCAAAATTTTTGCTTTTCTTCAAAATATTCTTAGTCTTTTAATATGAATAGATTTAAGTGTTATACTCTGTAAGGCTAAAGTGTATTTATTTTTTAAATCAGAATTGGTCTGAAGAAAGTGTTGAGGAAAATGATTAACAGCCATTAAGCAGAGAGGACTTCATAAAACCATTTTTAAAACGATTAGAAATCTTTTCTATATGATGCTTAAGTAGTAGTACTGTAGAATTAATGTTGAATTAATGCATGCAGAGTGTAATTTTGTAATTGTTTTTCCTATAGTTCTGAGAACTTTCTTAGGCCTAAATGTTTCCATTTTTTTTTTCTTGGAGAAGGACCAATTTTGCTAAGATTGTGCCACTGCACTCCAGCAACAGAGTGAGACCTTGTTTCAAAAAAAAATTAAAATAAAAAACCATAAGGGAGGATATGCATAGATTATATGCAAACACTATGCCATTTTTTATCAGGGACTTGAGGACCTACAGATTTTGGTGTCTGCAGCATTCTTGCAATCAGTCCCTGGTGGATATTGAAGGTCAGCTGTATTTATTCCAGACTTTCTCATCTGTGCTCTTGCTGTCAGTGTGACCTGAAAACAGACAGACTGTTATTTATGTGGCTTTATAATATTATGTTTTAATACATAGATGGCAGGTTTCCTCTCAGCTGCTTGGGAGGCAGAAGCAGGAGAATCACTTTGCTCTGTTTTTCTTTTTTGGAGGCAGGGTCTCACTCTGTTGCCCAGGCTAGAGTACAATGGCACAATCTTAGCTCACTGCAACCTTTGCCTCCTGAGCTCAAGCAATCCTCCCACCCTAGCCTCCTAAGTAGCTGGAACGACAGGCGAGTGCCACCACACCAAGCTATTTTTTGTAGAGACAGAGTTTCACCATGTTGCCCAGGCTAGTCTCAAACTCCTAGACTCAAGCAATTCACTCACCTCTGCCTCCTAAAGTGCTGGGATTACAGGTGTGAGCTACTGTGCCCAACCCACTTTGCTCTTTTTCTTTTCCTCCCCATTCAGCTTCCCCAAGTAGCTGGGATTACAGACATACACCACCACACTCAGCTAATTTTTGTATTATTAGTAGAGATGGGGTTTCACCATGTTGGCCAGGCTGGTCTCGAATTTCTGACCTCAACTGATCTACCCACCTCTGCCTCCCAAAGTGTAGGGATTACAGCTGTGAACCACTGCCCACTTTGTTCTTTTTCAAAATTGGCTTAGCTATTGGTGAACTTTTATTCCTCCATAGACATTTTAGAAGCAAGATGGTAAACTTTAAAATAAAAAAAGGCTCACCTGGCTGATGCCTGTAATCCCAGCACTTTGGAAGGCCGAGGAGAGTGGATCACTTGAGATCAGAAGTTTGAGACCAGCCTGACCAACATAGTGAAACCCTGTGTCTACTAAAAATACAAAATTAGCTGTGGTGCCTACCTGTAATCCTAGCTACTAGGGAGGCTGAGGCAGGAGAATTGCTTAAACCAGGCAGGCAGAGGATGCAATGAGCCACAATCATGTCATTACATCCTGGACAACAAGAGCAAAACTGCATCTCAAAAAAAAAAAATCCAGCTGGAATTTTTATTGGGATTTCAGAGAATTTATAGATCTAACTTGGGGAGGTTTGATTACCTTAACATGTTAATATCTACATTTATTGTAACTTTATCTTTTACTAGATCTTGGAAATTTTCTTTTTGAAAATCTCCAGTGTTCTTTTGTTAATTTCTATATCTGTTACAGTTTTTATTTTTGTGAGTGATACTTCTTTTATTTATTCCTGATGTAGAGGAAATAATTCTGGTTTTCTTATATGCCACCTTTTTGTTGAATTCTGATATGAATCATAACACTTTGTTGATTCCATTTGGTTTCTTATATAAATTATTAGTGTCATCTGCAAATATTGTTTTTTATATGCAAATATGGTTTTAGTGTCATCTGCAAATATGGTTTTATGTCCTCCTGCTAGTTCTTATGCCTGTGTCTTCTCTGTGATGTTGTGATCTAATCTCTTTTCTGGCCCAGCAGCCAGCCCTCTACTCCGTAGCGGAAGCAACAGCTCATAGGAGTGGGCTTCCTGGACAACTAGGTCTCATCCTCAGTGGGGTTATACCTGAAACTCCTCCGTTAAGTGCGATGGTTGTTTGGTATTAGTTCAGGGTATGTAGTCTTTAAAAAATTAAGATAATATTCTTGTATTCCTTTTTTTCTACAGACTTTAATCATAAATAAATGTTGAATTTTTATTAAATGATATTATTTATCTGTGAGATAATCTTAGAACTTTTCTCTTTTATCCTAATAATACATTGATAAACTTTCTAATATTGAATTATCCTTGAAATCTTCACCTAAACTTGTTTGATTATGTTATTTTTTAGTACATTATTAGATGGGGTTCAATTTTGGATTCACTTTTTTTTTTTTTAAAGACAGAGTCCTGCTCTGTCACCCAGGCTGGAGTGCAGTAGCATGATCACAGCTCATTCCAGCCTCAACCTCCTGGGCTCAAGCTATGCTCCACCTCAGCCTCCTAAGAAGCTGGGACTTCAGGTGCATGCCACCACACCCAGCTAATTTTTTTTTTTTTTGCTTTTTTTGTAGAGATGAAGTTTCACTATGTTAGAGACCAGCCCAGGCTGGAATTGCAGGTGTGAGCCACTGAGCCCGCAGGTTAGCGATTTTTTAATATAAGATTTTTCATCTTTATTCTTTGATGAATTACTTTATCATGTCTTTATCTGGTTTAAGCATCACTGTTATATTAGCCTCATAAAATGTTACGTGGCTTTCTCTTTTTTTGCTTTTTCAAATGACTCATGTAAGATAAACATTATCTAATCCTTCAGAATTTAGCACCAGTGCTGAGGTTTTGGGAGTGGTTGGGAAGGTCTTTGGTTACCATTTTAATTTCCTTGATGGTTATTGGACTATTAATATACACCATTGTGGGGGTCCGGCACGTCTGCCGGGGGGCTTCTGACCAGCAGAGAGCCTCAGCCCCACTTAGGTGTTCTTAACCTGGAAGAGGGAGTGCACGGAAGAAAAGATAGATAAGAGAGTGGGGTCTGGAGGACTGCCAGGCAATGCTGGAGCAATAAGTGCCAAGACAGCAAGTTTATTTGTGCAAACTACAGGTTATATACCTTTCAGTGTTTGAGGAGTGACGTACATTCCATTGTATCTTGAAATAAAATCAAGAACAAAAAATCACAAGAAAAGGGGTACAGAAAGTATGACTCTTAACCAAAGGGTGTACAGCAAAGGGACAATAAAGCTTGCAAAAAGGGGATCATAAATCTAAACATGTGTTTTTCTAAAATCAGTTAAGCAAGCAACTAAGATTGTTAACAAGGTATAGCTGGACCTTTCTAAATGTCATTCTAACCTTGCCTATTCATATAGGATCATATGCAAACAATATGATTGAGTTAGCAGAGGTAAATGAAGTCATACAGTTATTGTGCAGAGAAGGAACTAGAAGGCACACAATGTCTACCCATACAATGTCTCATTAGACCACAAGGCCTGAGCTCAGCCATTCTGTTGCAAATGTCAGAGGCAAAGATTGATGTTTGTAAAATCAGTGCAACCAGACTTCCTCCTTTCCCTTAGCTCAACAGCCTCCAGGAGAGGAGAAACGTGTATGGGCTCAAGCTCAAGATGGCGAGGGTTCTGTCAAGGGCCCTTCGCAGGAGCAATCCCCACACACCATTTACATCTTTTATGTGTGGGACAATTTTTTTAACTTTCTAGTCAATTACATTAATTAAATTTAGTATGTGTTTCTTTCTAAATGTGTTGCTGGTCTTGAACTCCTAGACTGAAGTGATCGTCCCATCCTGGTTTCCCAAATGGCTGGGATTATACATGTGAGCCATAGAACCCAGCCAGTATATGTGGTTTAAAATAAATGATTATATGTAAGTAAATGTTGTTAGGTCACTGTTATTTTTAAAAAGCCATTTTCAACTATACATTTGAATGGATCTGTAAGTCCAGATATTGTGACCCAGTATTTATTGTTGTTGTTAACTATTATAACTCAAACTTACTACATTTCTTTCAAGCAGATGAGCCAGATGACTGAAGCTGGCTGGAACATCATGTGGTCCATCAGTGCTGGACAGCCAGGCCTTCCCAGTTTCCTCATAGCTTACTTTTGCACTCCAGTTTAGCTGCTGTCTGGTAAGAAGCTAAAGTTTTCATTTAATGTGATAATATAAAAAGCTTTGATGTTTAAGCATTTGGCTTTGATTTATGACTTCAGTTCCTCTGTGAAATTTAAATTTGTTTTGGTTTTGACAATTTCTTTTTTGAACAGAGTCTTACTCTAGTTGCCCAGGCTGCAATGCAGTGGTGATATCTCAACTCACTGCAGTCTTCACCTCACCCAGCTGATTTTTGATTTTTTATTGATTGATTTTTGGTGGGGGGAGAGAAAGTCTCACTCTGTTACCCTGGCTGGAGTGCAGTGGCATAATTGTGGCACACTGCAGCCTCTGCCTCCCTGGTTCCAGCAGTTCTCATGTTTCAGCCTCCCAGGTAGCTGGGATTATAGGCACACATCACCACACCCAGCTAATTTTTATATTTTTTAGTAGAGATAGGATTTCTCCATGTTGCCCAGGCTGGTCTCCAACTCCTGACCTCAGGTGATCCGCCTGCCTCAGTTTCCCAAAGTGCTGGGATTACAGGCGCAAGGCACTGCACCCAGCCATAGTGTTTTTAATTATCACAGCATAACTTGAATTTAGGTTCTATCATGTCATCTACAATGTAAAAATCTTTGGAATCTAATTTTGAGAGTCCGTCCTAGGCACAGAAAAGCAGTAATCTGCTGATTTTAAATGTGGGGACTGGGAACCAGATGTTATTAAAAATGTAAGGAAGTGATCTCGGAATATGAGTTGCCTGGTAGATCGTCTCAGTCCGTTGGTCAGGATCCATTTGCTGCTAACTTCTTGCCTTATGCAGAGCTCAGGGCAGGAGCAACTGAACCTTCACCATCTAGAGGCAGGACTGGAGTATCCAACACCCATCCTTGCAGTGCTCTTGAAGAACCAGGGTTGCAGGTGAAGGGGAGTGGGGTGCTGGGCTGTGGAGCATTTAGGGCCATTTTCCCGAGCAAGCCTGAGAGCAGCTCACCCTGCTCGGCGTTTCTGTGTGAGGTTTGGCCTTTCACGATTGTTTCCTGGGATGAACTCACATCAGGTTTTCCTCTGTCCGCCCTTCCCCAGGTGTGCCTGGGTCTGCTCTGGCTCCCTCAGGTGACCAGGCCGAGGGCCAAGGGTTCCCCAGGTGGGCTCTGACCTCCCAGCCCTGGAACCCACCTGCCCAGCACAGGTGTGCACCTCCTGCCCGGGGCGGCCCCAGACAGGTGCCCTGGGTGTCCCTGAGCCTGCTACCCAGCACAGTCTGCCCCCGCGCTGACCCCATCCCCTGCCCTGACCCTGCATGCTCCAACCCAGGACACAGTTCAGACCCCATTACTCCACTTCCTGAGCCAGACTGACCAGCAGCCTCTCTCCTCCTCCCTGCTCCTGCAGCCACCTGTCTTCCTCAGTCCTGCTCCTTTGCCTTTTCCAGAGTGTCACATGTGGGCTTGGAGTCTGGCTTGCTTCACTTAGCATAAGGAGTTGGAGCTTCAGCCATGCTCTGATTTGTCTCTGAAGCGTAAAGATACTAAGGTTTTAAAAGTGTGGCTCTCGGATACAGCCTGAGAGAGAGACTAAAATGATAAAGTGATGAGAAAAATTTTGAAACTATAGTTCATTCAAAACATTAAATAGTATAGAACTGACATGTATGCTGAAAGTGAAATTCCCTTGGTACTTTTAAGTAGTATACAGTGTTTGCTGTGCATACGTAATTTTTTTATAACATAGTGAGAGCATATTGCATATGTTTATCATCATACATTTTTCACTTAATGATGTTTGGTTATTTAAACATCTTAGCAATCTTTATGTGTTGATCTACACAGTGCATACACACAGATTTCCCTTAGTCTTTTAAGTGATTGTATAGGTTTTTTTTTTGTTTTTTTTTTGAGGCAGAGTCTTGCTTTGTGGCCCAGACAAGAGCTCAGTGGTGCAAACTCGGTTCACTGCAATCTCTGCCTCCTGGTTCAAGCAATTCTCCCATGTCACCCTCCCAAGTAGCTAGGATTACAGGCATGCACCACCACACCTGGCTAATTTTTGTATTTTTAGTGTAGACGTAGTTTCACCATGTTGCCCAGGCTAGTCTTGAACTCCTGATCTCAAGTGATCTTCCTGCCTCAGCCTCCCAAAGTGTTGGGATTACAGGCACAAGCCACTATGCCCAGCCAGATGACTACAGTATTCTGTAGTGTGGATGTTCCATAATTCTATCAGCCTCCTGCTAATTGATGTTATAGTTGTTTACTGTTTTACAACACTGCAATCAGTGCTTGTGTCTGTATCTTTGTGCACATACATTTATCATGCTGAAGGTGACTTTGGGTTTAAATAATAGTTAACATTTCATGAGTACTTCTCATGCTCCAGGCATTGTTCTAAGCCAGGGTTACCTGTCAAGGTCCAGGTAGTGACTGCTGACAGCTGTGCAGGCCATGTCATCTCTGGGCTGTAGCACCCATGCAGTGTGGACATTAAGTATGGGGAATGAGTCTGGCTGTGTCTCATAGAAACCTCTGTATGGAAAGAGGCAGTGGTCTGTAGTTTATTGACCACTGTTCTAAGTCGTATACATCCTAATTATTCTCATATTCCTCCAAGGGAGGTGCATTACTATCCCCACTTTGTGAATGAGGAAACTGACACACAGAAAGGAGGAGTCCACGGTGACATGGTTGATCAATGGCCGAGCCAGGCCGTGACCCATCCATTCGACTTGTGGGCTTCAAGTTTAAAGGTTAGAAGGAAGCTGCCAAGTGTCTTCTCCTAAATGTTAGACCTGGTGGTGGGACCCTCAGGCACCTGCTGAACCAGTGGCCTCTGGTTCTTTGAAAGCCATGGTACCACTCTGGGCAGCTTTTGGATGCTGGATAGGCCAGCACCCTCTCAGCACCTCTCATTGTGTGCCTGTCTATATTCCTGCTTTTGATAAATGTTTCCCCAGCACCAGCCTAAAAAGAAGTCAGCACAGCTGGTGCCTGGGACTATCCATCTGGCAGGCAGGAGGAAAGATAGACTTTTCCAGCAGGTGAGATTAAGTTGGGTGCTGGCAAGGTTAACTTCCTTTGATGTCTGCTCCAGAAGGAATCACCTGAGCCCAGGTCGGCATGTTGCTTGGGTACCATGGCCCATTTTCCTTCAGTAATGTGGAGCAGGCAGGGGGCTCATGCCTGTAATCCTAGCACTTTTGGAGGCTGAGGCAGGGCGAATCACTTGACACCAGGAGTTGAAGACCAGCCTGGCCAACATGGTGAAATCTTGTCTCTACTACAACTACAAAATTAGCCAGGCATGGTGGTGCATGCCTGTAATTCCAGCTAGTTGAGAGGCTGAGGCAGGAGAATCACTTGAACCCAGGAGGCAAGGTCACACCACTGCACTCTAGCCTAGGCTGAGTGAGACTGTCTCAAAAAACAAAAATTGTGAAGAATAAATGAGATAATGTATAGAAAAAATACTGCAAGCTGGGCGCAGTGGCTCATGGCTGTAATCCCAGCATTTTGGGAGGCCGAGATGGGTGGATCATAAGGTCAGGAATTCAAGACCAGCCTGGCGAAGATGCTGAAACCCCGTCTCTAATAAAAATACAAAAATTATCCAGGTGTGGTAGCATGCGCCTGTAATCACAGTTACTTGGGAGGCTGAAGCAGGAGAATCACTTGAATCCGGGTGGCAGAGGTTGCAGTGACCTGATATCACACCACTGTACTCCAGCCTGGACAACAGAGCAAGATTCCATCTCAAAAAGAAAAATACTGCATAAGAGATACTGTTTATGCTATGTTTTCTAAAGATTTTATCTTTACATATTTTATAGTGTAAAGTTTTAACTAACATGTCCAAGCGATTTTCATTGTTTTCCCTATTAAATACTATTTAGCCAAATTTTTGGTTATCCTTAGGTATCTTTTATTGGTGGCAGCAGTAATGAAATAGCTTTCTTGAATTTTTATTATGAAGGAATGTTGAATTTTATGTTTTTCTCAGCATGTACTGAAATGATTATATGGTTTTTCTTCCTTGATTTGCTGAACGGATTGTAGCACATTTATATATTTGTGTTTATTGAATCATCTTTATATTCCTCAGATGAATCCCACTTCGTCATGGCAGATAATCCTTTTATTGTCTTGTCAAATGCAGTTTTCATGTATTTTGTTGAGAACTTTTTGTATCTGTGTTGAACAGGATATTTGCCTGTCTTTTTCTTTTTTGAGTTGTGTTTTGGTCTGGTTTTTGTACCAGGGTAGTGCTGGCCTCATAGAACAAGTTTGGAAGTATTTCTTCCTCTTCATTTTTGGGGAAATATTTTGAGTAAAATTGGTATTAGCTCTTTTAAAAATGTCATTGAATTCATCAGTAAAACCATGATTCTTGTGTTTTTCTTTGACAGGAGACTTTTTATTACTACTTTAATTGCATTACCCATAATTGGTCTGTTCATGTTTCTTACCTTTCTATCATTCTATCTACATGAGCCCAGGGATTCAGGGGAGGCCTCAGCGAGTGGCCACAGTAGCTGCTCCCTTTCTCTCTGGCCAATGACACATCTGGTTCATTTCAGCATCCCCAGGTGTTCTAAGGGGGCAGAGTGTAGCCTGCCCTGGCTTGGGAATGCACAAACACAGGGCCCCTGGGTGATCCTAGAGCTGAGGCTGTAGCTAGACAGGGCAAGAGAGGCCCCTGACTTCTCACTTTCTGGTCCCAGTCATGAGGTTTCAGGAGTGGGGCCAGAGTGGGAACATTCAATGTTGTGTAATGACAGGACAGAGAAGGCAGCAGCCTTTGACACTTCACATGAAAATGTGGCATGAGAAGAACCACTGATCAATCCAGTCTTGGCCAGAAAGTCATTGCCCTTGGCAAAAGAGCCAGTGTCTGAGTGCCTGTAGCTATGTATGTATGACCTATATACATATACATATGTAATGCTTCTTGGCTTATAGTGTCTAAATATTTACCATCTAATGCATCAGAAGAAGTGTTTGCCTTTCCCAGTGCTAACTGATAATGGCTGTGCATGACCCTATAAAAATTTAACCACTTTTGATAACAATAAACTAATATTAGCTGCCATTTACTGAGGCTCAGAAACGTTAAGTAACTTGCCTAAGGTCACACAGCTAGTAAGTGGCAGAGCAGAATCTTACAGTGACAGTTTGGAGGGAAGAAGAGAATAAGTGGTGGACTTGATTCTGACCATGCAGATGCAGGTGGCCCCCTGGACTTCAGCTTCTCCAGGGCCAGGCTTAACTCCAGAACTGCCAGGCAGCTCTGTGACCCCATCTCTCCTCATGAGCTTGCTTTGGGATAGCTGCCAAAGCTACTTTTTAATTACAATCCACGTGAGAACACTCTGGCCAGAAGCTTCTATCTTCCTGGCATTTTCCTTCCTGTGGGGCCTCCCAACCCCAGAAGTTCCTCTGTAACATGGCTAACTCCTCTCTTGTTTCCTCCTAGACTTTCCCTTGTGGGTTCAGAGGGGAGACTGATGTTGCTAAGCCTTGCTGAGCATCATTTCTGGTGTGGCAGAGTCAACAGGCCTCCTGCTTCTTGACTACTCCTGACTCATCTCTGCAGAGCAGACACACCTCACTTCTTGGACATCACTGAAGAATGTTCTGGTAAGTAAATTTTTCAGGAATGAAAGCTTACTGCTCAGAACACTCAACTTGAGAAACCTGGAACTATTTTGCCCATTAATCTTTTTATATTTCGGAGCTGGAGTCTGGCTCTTGTCACCCAGGCTGGAGTCCAGTGGCACAATTTCGGCTCACTGCAACCTCTGCCTCCTGGGTGCAAGCAATTCTCTTGTGCTAGCCTCCCAAGTAGCTGTGATTGCAGGTGCCTGCCACCACGCCCAGCTACATTTTATATTTTCAGGACCAGGGTTGGGGCTGGACCAGGACTGTGACAACGTAGGGTCATGTCAGGGCATGACCAGAGCTGGTTCATAGAGAAGGCAAGGTCAATACTAAGTTAGGGCCAGGGCTGAGGCAGGGTCAGTGAATATTGAGGGTGGGACCAGGACTAGGGCACAGCCAAGGCAGTGTATGTCAGGGCATTGGTATGATGGGGATGTTGCAGTGTCATTTCAATGCCAAGACAAGGCAGAACAGGGAAAGACGATAGTAGAGCCAGGGCAGGGACAAGCCAAGGCTGGGCCAGGTCAGGTCAGGGCCAGGATACCTCCAAGTCCAGTTCAGGACCATGGCAGGTCCAGGGTTATTGCAAGACAAAGTTTAGGACCAGGGCTAGGTCTCAACTAAGGCAAGGTCCAGCACAGGGCCTAGTCAAAGCTAGGTTAAGGACCACGGTAGGGACAGGTTAGGGTCTAAGCCAGAGTAGGCCAAGGGCAGGGCCAGGGCAGGGTGAAGACACAACCAGGGTATGGCAGGGAAGGGTGGTTCAAGACAAGGGCTATACCAGGACAGAGCAGGACCAGGACCATGGCAGAGTTAGGGCAGGTTCTTGGCAGGGCCAGGGACAAGGTAAAGGTCAGGGTTAGGCATGGATAAGAGCAGGGTTACGATCAGGGATATGGCAGGGACATGGTAGGGCAGGTCCAGAGCCAGGTCATACAGAGAGTAAAGAAAAAGCCAAGGTAGTAGTAGGATAGGCCAAGGTAATGACACTACTGGGCCATGGCAGGGCCATGTCAGTCCTGGGAGAGAGCAGAACAAGCAAGGCCATGGTAGAGACAGGGCAGGGAAGGGCCAAGGCAAGGATGAGACAAATCAGGCCAATGACATGATTTGTCATCAACATGTTCTATTTCCAAGTACAGGTCATAGAACAGGACCAGGACCATGACCATTGGCAACCCTGGGGTCATGTCAGGACCAAGGTCAGGACAAAAGGCAGGGTCATAGTGAAGGCGTGGCCAGCCCAGGTCCAGGGAAGGGGTAGGGCATGCTAGGGCCAGTGTAGTACAGGGACAAGAAAAGGGAAGGGAAGGTAGGGTCAGGGCAAGGTCAGGGCTATGGCAGAGCAGAGACAGGGAAGGCCAAGGGTAAGGGAAAGGCCAGAGAAGGGCCAGAGAAAAAGCAAACCAGGGAGGGTCCAAGGCATGAATGGCCAATTCAGAACCTGAGCCAGGGGAGGCCAAAGGCAGGACCAGAACAGAGCAAGACCAGGACAGGGAGTGACATAGCAAACAAGGGTAGGATCAGGGCAAGTTTAGGGACAAGATAGGACTAAAATAGCACAGGACCAAGGTAGGATTAGTGCCAGGGCATAATCAGAGAATGACAGGTCCGGGTCAGGGTCAATTCAATGGCATGGGCAGTGTCAGCATCATGCTATGGTCAGGGAAGGTAAATGCAGAGCCAAGGAAGGGCCAGGGTCAAAGCAGACATAGGGTGGGTCCAGTGCCAAGGCACAGTAATTGCAGGGCGAGTACTTTGCCAGGGCAAGTTTAGGACAAGGTCAAGGTTGGGTCAGGGACAGTGCCAGAGCAGGTCAGGGCCAGTCAGGGTCCAGGACCAGGGCAGAACCAGGACCAGGAGAAACCAAATGTAGGGCCAGGGTAGGGTAGGGCTAGGGCAGAGTAGGACTAAGGTAGCACAGGGCCTGGCCAAAAGCAGGGTAGGGCCATAGCAGGGGAAGGACTTGGATCAGGGCAACAGCAAACACTGGGCCAGGGTATGGTGTGACCAGTACAGGGCCAGGTTAGAGGATGACAGGTCAGACCAGGGCAAGACCAGGGAGAAGGCAGAACCAGGGCCAAGGTCATGCCAATGCAGAGAGGGCTGATGAAGGTTCAATGCAGGATGAGGGCAAGACCAGGACATGGAAGACCAAGGAAGAGCAAGGGAAGGACCAGTGCAGGGCCAGGGTCCGGCCAGGGCAGGCTCAGGACCTGGATAAGGACAGAGCCATGGCAGTGCTGGGCAGAGCTAGAGCACAGCTATAGAGAGGGCAGGACAAAAGTCCAGTCAGAGTCAGGGAAAATCCAGGAAGGGTATAGGGCAGGCCAGAACCAGGGAACTTCCAGTGCAGGATAAGACAGAATAATGGTATGACTAGGCCATGGCAGTGCCAGGAAAGGGCAGAACAGGCAGGGCCTTGGTGGTTTCAGGGCAAGGATAGGCTAAGGCATGACAGTGACAAATCAGACCCTGGACATATGCAAGTCCAAGTAAAGGCCAGAACAGGACCAGCACCATGACCATTGGCAGGTCTGGGGCCATGGTAGGACCAGAGTCAGGATGAGGGGCAGGGTCAGAGCCAATGCATGTTCAGGGCAGGGACAGGGAAGCACATTGCCAGGGCAGGACTAGGGTGGGGCCAGAGCAGGGAAGGTCCAGGGAAGGGGCAGGATCTAGTCAAATGCCAAAGCCATGCTCAGAGCAGATCCAAGGAAGAATCAAGACCATTGAAGCAGATGGCCAAGGAAAGACCAGAACAGGGAAGGGGTCAGCACAGGGCCAGAGTGAAAGCAGTGACAGGGTCAGAAGCATTGCAAGACCAGAGGAAGGGCAGGACAAAGGCCACGTCCAGGTCAGGGCTATGGCTGGAGGATTGGGTAGGTTCAGGACCATAGCCAAGTGAGGACCATGACAGAACCAGGGCTGGGTCAGGACCCTCATATTGGCAATCAGGGCAAGGAAAATGGCAGTGCCCAGGCAGGACTATGCCAGGGTAGGACCAGAACTGGGCCAGGGCCAGAGCAAGGGCAGAATGAGGGCTGGGTCATGGCCAGGAAGAAATCAGGGGCAGGGTCACAGCCGGGGACATGACACGACCAAGATGAGGGCCAGAACTGAGCCAGAAATAGGACAGGACCAGGACCAGGCAGAAACATGGTAGGGCCAGGGCTTGGGACAGGGCAAGTTCAGGATCAGCACAGGCCAGGGCAGGGCTACGGAAGTGCAGAGCTAAGGCACGATGGGGTCATTGTAGAGCAAGGACGTGGCCAGACAATGGCAGAGTAGGGGCACAGAAGGCCATGCTGAGGACATGAACCAGGTAGGGCCAACCACAAGGCTGGGCCAGAAAGGGGCCAGGACAAGGGAAAGACCACTGAAGGGCCAAGGAAAGGGAGGGCCATGGAGGAGCCAAGGCAAGGACAGAGCCATGTGAGAACCAGAGTCAGGGTAAGGGCAAGGCAAAGGGAAGGGTGGGCCACAGCAGGCCAGAGTAGGGCCAGGGTGAGGTCAAAGCTAAGGCAGGCCCAGGATAGCACAGGGTTAAGGCAGGGCCAGTGAAGGGCAAAGCTATGGCATCACCAGGGCAGAACCAGGGCATGGTCAGGTCCATGGTTTGAACAGTGCCATGGCCAGGTTTAAGACAAGGCTGGGCAGGACCATGACAGGGACAGGACCATGACAGAACCAGGGTTAGGAGCAGGGGTCGGTGATCAAGGTCAGGGCTGGGGCCAGGTCTGTGCTAGGGTCAGAGTGAGGGCCAAGGTAGGGCAGGGCCAGATCAAAGGGCCAAGACCAGGACCAGTGTGACATCAGGGCCAGGATAGAACTAAGATTGTGCAGGGTCAGACCTAGGCCAAAAGCAATGCATGGTCAGGGTCCCAGACATTGTGGCCAAGTCTAGGCAAGGGCCAGGACAAGAGCAAATGCAGAGCCAAGGAGAACACAGGAACATGGAGGGTCCAGAGGAGGGCAAGATCAAGACAGAACCAGAACCAGCATGAAGCAAAAAAAAAAAAAACAGGGAAAAGGCAGTGCAAGACCAGGTTAGGGCCAGGTCCAAAAAAGGACAGGGCTAGGATAGAACAAGGCATAGCAAAAAGCAGAGCAGGAGTCATAGCTGGGTTATGACTAGGAACAGGACCAGAATATTTTGGGGCCATTACAGGCACGTAACAGAGGATGACAGTGAAAGACCAGGGCAAGGAAGAAGATAGGGACAGGGCCAAGGCTGTGCCAAGGCAGAGAGTGCCAGAGCAGGGTCATTGCAGTGTGAGGGCAAGACCAGAGAATGGAAGGGCATGGAAAGTCCAGGCCAAAGCCATGGTCTAGGCAGGGCAGTGTCAGGGTCAGGGCCTGGATAAGGGAAGGGCTAGGGCCAGGGATATGACAGGACCAGATCGGGCATGGCAAAAGTCAAGGTAGGGGGAGGGCAGGTCCAGAAAGGGGCTAAGGCGGGGTAAGGCCAGGGCAGAAACAGTGCAAGGTAAGACAGGGCAATGGCATGACTGGTTCATGGCAGGAACAAGTACAGCATAGCAGAGGGCCAAGGAAAGGCCATGGCAGGAAAGAGCTGGGGAAACATCAGGACCATGACAGTGCCAGGGCCAGAAGTAGGGCAAGACCAGAGCCAGGACAGATCCAGGGACAAGAGAGGGTCAGAAACATGGCAAGACAAGTGGCAGGGTGAGGGCTGTGGGCAAGTCAGAGCCAGGGTACTGGGTAATGCAGTGCCCAGTCATGGGTCGGCTAGGGCAGAGCCAGGACTGGGGTCAGGCTGGAACCTGGACAGAACCTGAGCTGGGTCATGGCCAGGGAGAAATGAGAGGCAGGGTCACAGCCAGTGTCATGGCAGGACTAAGACCAGGATCAGGACACAGTCAGAAGCAGGGCAGAACGAGGGCCAGCGCAGGGACAATGCAGGTCCAGGACTTGCAACGGTGAAGGTAAGGACCAGCACAAAGTCAGGGCAGGGC